CCCCAAAACCCCAAAACCCCAAAACCCCAAAACCCCTTAGTAATAAATATAAATAGAATTTAAAATTTCAAATGTCTCAAGACCCAAAGAAGAGTTCGAATAAACTAAATGACCAGTCTTTAGAGGTAGAAGGCTTCCAGCCTCAGGTAGGCCTTCTTTTGGCAATCAAATTTCTCTGGGTTTTCAGCAGATTTGATCAAGATTTTTATAGAATTTGAGCAAAAATAAAGCAATTGATAACTACGTTATCGGTAAGACTATTGGAGAAGGAACCTTTGGCAAGGTCAGAGCAGGCACTCATATACTCACAGGAGATAAAGTAGCAGTCAAGATTTTAGAGAAAGACCGTATCTCTGATGTAGCTGATGTTGAGAGAGTATCTAGAGAAATTCATATCCTTAAGCTAACAAGGCATCACAACATCATACAGCTTTATGAGATCATTGAGACAAAGAAACTACTCTACCTGATCATGGAATATGCAGACGGTGGTGAATTATTCGATTATATCGTCAATAGTTCCAAAATAGATGAGCGTGAGGCATGTCATATTTTCCAACAGATAATTTCTGGCATCGAATATATCCATAAACTCAATGTCGTGCATAGAGATATGAAACCAGAAAACCTGCTTATAGATAATAAGAAGACAATAAAAATAGTTGACTTTGGACTATCAAATACATTTAAAAAAGAGGAACTACTTAAAACAGCATGAGGGTCTCCATGATATGCTGCTCCAGAAATGATAGCTGGGAAATAAGTATTATGGCCCAAAGTCTGATATCTGGAGCTGTGGAGTAATTCTCTACGCTTTAGTATGAGGATTCCTCCCCTTTGAAGATAACAATACAGCAGCTCTGTATAAGAAAATCATGGATGGAGAATATGTAGTCCCTGATTTTATTTCCAAAGAAGCTCAAGATATAATTGTAAAAATCTTAAACACAGATCCTGAGAAGAGGCTTAGTGTTGAGGAAATAAAGAACCATGCTTGGTTTAAAACAAGCGTGCCTGTATATCTTAGCGAGGGTTTGATCATTGGCTATAATAGAATACCAATTCAAAACAAAATTCTCAGCTTGATGACGAATCAAGGATTTGATCCAAAGTACATTCAAAGATGAATCGATGCAAATAAGCATAATCATTGAACTACAACCTATTATATTTTCCTGAAAAAGCTTAAGCTAATTGATAAACTAGAAGTGATAAAAGAAAAGAGTAAGTTTATACATCTCAAGATTAGTCTGTAATACAAAAGAAGAGCATGAAGAAGAAAAGGGGAATATAGACAATGATCCTACTGCTAACATTATCGACTCGTACCTCATGGATGACATTAGTGATAGAAGTTTCTGAAAAATGAATAATTCCAAGAAAGAAGATCTGACCAAAGACCTTGAAACCGAAAAGGTTGATTTAATTTACAAAGCCATTAGCCATAATTTAGAAAGAAGTAGGTTGGCTAACAATAAACAGTTCCAGACTGAAAACAAGAACTATGATAATACCAAGATCACATTAAACTTGGATAATACATATAACAACTGAAATGAAATATCCCAGAGTCAGATAAGTAATCAGTTAAATTCAAATTTTAAATTTAGATTATTCAAATTTTAAATCCAATGACAATAGTTTCTCCAAGAGTTATGTCCACACTCTAGAGAATACTATGAACCAAGGAGGGGAAAACCAGGAGATTTACCAAGATATCACGAGGAATAATATCAATGAGCTTTCTTTTGAAACGAATAATCCTCATAACAACTCCAAGCTTTCCAATTTAGCAATGGAATATATGAATAATATTTCTGGTTATGACTTGCTGTCTGAGGAATCTAACTCGATTATATCTAATGAGACTGATAAGGAGGATACCAAGGGGAAACCTCAAAAGTCGACTATTTCAGAAACTGATAGTCAGAAAAAGATCATTTTAAATAAGAAACTGCTCAATTATCATCGGAAAACTTCTAAGATAAATACTTCGGTTCAGCATTACAACTCAAAGAACAACGGTAAGCCTTGGGAGGTCATTTGTAGGAAGCATAAAATCTAGGAAGCACACGTTGCCCACAAAGGGTAGCAGAGGGTCGTCCAACCTTCCTTATAAAGAGAAGAAATAAACTGCAGAAATGAATCAGTCAGAATTTTAAAGAATACCAATCTTCAAAATCGAGATCAGCTTCTAGGAAGTATCATGGAATGCCTTTTACTAAAAGTAAGAAGTATACTACCAGCAAGAACTCAAAAAGTAAAATGCTTTCCTAATTTCTAGCCAATATTGGGAAGATGTTCAACCTTGCAGTGTCTTCATGCTCTAAAATGCTAAAGAAGATGAAAAAGGGAAAATCTCCTGGGACTTCGAAGACAAGGGCTCCCACAAGGTGTTCCCCATACAAGCAAAATATGTCTAATATCAGTATGTATCAGCCAAGTTTTGATCCTGGGTTTAAGAAGCCTTCATCGAATAGGAATCCTGGTCTTCATAGTAAAGGAAGGAAATGATTAATTAATACTACATTTTCTAATGATGACAAAGGCAAATTGGCACCCAAAGCTTCAACTCAGAAAGGAGAGCATAAATTCAGTGATAAGCTACAGAAAGAAAAGAAGTCATTCACTAATACAAAACAGGATGGAATCGTGAACTTGTATTCTAAGGGAAAGAAAAGTATGGGCTGAAGATAATGTTTAGATGTAGCTATCATGCAAGCCCCAACTACAGTGAATAACAATGCATGCATTATTGTAAACCAATCGATAGTACTACAGAAAAACGCAAATAAAGGGCTGAATCTGCAGACAGATAGTCGTCATAAAGGGCAGGTTTTTACAACTTTCAATTCCAAAAAGGGCTCGAAAGATGGCACGAGGAGCAAGTCTAAGAAAGCAGATTCTATTAAAAAGAAGTCTCCGAAAGGTACGGTTTATGATATAATTTTAGTTCCTTTGAATCAGAAGCACAATAACTTATTGCAGATGAATGGTACAATTCTGAATATCGATAAAAGTCGTGTGCTGAATAGCAAGACAGTGCGTTCACAAGCTCGAACAAGAAATCAAAATGGGGTAAAATCAGAGTTCTATTCCATCAATCCAAAAACAGTATTACGGATTATTAAAAATTTAGCTTCAAAAGAGGAAGAACAATATATTTTCCCCAAACTTTAACATTGCTCCTTCAACAGGAGCTCTTCCTGAACAGTCTAGATTTATGGGTTCTCAAGTAAAAATTAACCCAGCCAGTAGGATTCTTTGGTCTAACTTGTAGTATACTCTACAAAAGATTCATACAAGAAATCAGAGAGTAAATCAAAGGAGAAGAAAGGAAAGAGCAAGTTTAGGATAAAAAGGTCAAGAAAGGCATCATTCTCTGGTAAAAGAATTTAATTAACCTTTTAACTCTATTAACTCAACCAACAATACTAATTGAGGGGTTTTGGGGTTTTGGGGTTTTGGGGTTTTGGGG